TTTGTGATCTTTGAGATGTCTTTAAAACCAAACTACATGTTTTTTTTTCTTATAGTCAGCTACTACAAAAAAACTAACTTAATAGTTATTATAGATAGATAATACCATCACTGCAACTAACCAACGTCGCTTTATAAAATGTAAATACACGTGATAAAATGATTTTTTACAATAATTACCGTATTTATAGTTTTTATACACTATAAGAGAACATGGTGCACCTAAATATAGATTTTAATATAAACAATATGACGTTTGGTAGCCATATTTCTTGTTTTTATATTTAGATCAAATTGTTGCTACAAAAAACAACAACAACAGTGAACTTAGTTCAATGGTATAGAAATATCAAAATGGAAGGTGTACAATGTACATTGGGTGATAAAATTATTATTAATATAATCTTTAAAAAACTTTACACCAGCCATTTAGATATTCGACGTAGTATTGAATTGAATATCTTAAATATTATGACATAACACATAAATTGCAATAAAAACTGATGTTTTGTACTGTGCCTTATGAATTGTCTGGCCTTATGAGTGCCTTCTTTCACTTATATTTTTTACGTCTAATCTCAGCAAATGGAAATAATAATATCGAATTATAGATTACAATGTAGGTATAAAGAATATATGTATATTTTATTGCTTAGTATTCATTTTGTTACGATAAGCATTTTTTAATCCGTGCAATAAACAAAATATTATTTCGAATATTGCTTTGATGATTCTTACAATACATGCTCAAATATTGATTTAATGTTTATGTATCAATAATAATATAGACTTGTCATTATCATTATAATATTAAATAATAGAATACATTTTTGTCATATTACTTATAAATGGAATTGAAAATATTTTTTATGTGATAACATATTAAAACATCAGCACTTTACCACAACTAGTTAAAGCTGACCTAAAGTTATTTGGGAACAGTTGAAATTTCACTTTATGTATTACATAACTCGACAAAATAGCATTGGTTAAACTTAATTCAAACAGTGTTTGCATAAAGTTTAGTATTGTAAGACACATTTTAAGTTAACTTTCGATTGTTCTCAAAACAAACGCTCAGTTTCCTTGTAGTGGTACAAAAATTACTAATGAAGTCACGTAAAGTTGGCAAAAGGAATATAATGAACATTAAGTACCTGTCGAATGTGACCTTCATATTTATTAAGATTATTAAAATATGCAATGTAAGTATTTCCTAATATTGAAAATGTTGTATTTTAGGCGTGGTACTTAATCATTATTATTAATGCTTTACAGCATTAAGCAATGTGATTAGGCATTCTCAAACGACGATAGTTCAGGCGTCGATTGACGAATGTATAGTATGTCAAAAATGTAGGATGTGACCCACGATCACGGATTAACCATAACAAGATTAAAAATTAAAAGTGAACTTTCAAACCTCGATCGTAAATCGACATCGTCTCCTTTTTTAAGTTAAAATTAATGCTTGAAGGTTAAGGTTAACGCATTTTCCATCAGTATCCTTAGGATGAACCAATATCGAATGCACATGGTTTGCGAGTGCAAAATGTCAATGTCAAATTTTGTATGGAAACTTGAACAGCAACGCCACAAGGCCGTAACGAGAACTAAAAATCAGTAAACATTTGACGTATATCTAAATCGAATTCGAATAGGTTGCGAGTGCGAAATGTCATTGTCAAATTTTGCATGGAAACTTGAACAGCAGCGCCATAACGGACGTAACAAGGACCAAAAATGAGTACAGATTTGACGCATTAAAAAACTGAATTTGACTATTCAGATTAGATAATGGTTCGTGCTAAGGGTACGATGTCGCTCTATAAAGTAAAATTTTACAATTAACGCAAATACGGTTGAGTTAGAACTTTACAATTACTATACAGTACTCTAAAGTGGTCAATTTATAAATGTTCCATTATCATCACCCTACAATAACACAATTATACCTCATAATAGAATTTTCAGTGGCACAGGTATTTTTGTATCATATTATAATTATGTGTATTAAGTTTATAAATATCATAATGAATTATATATTCATTGAAGGGAAAGACATTATTTTATTAATTTATTGTTAAGACTGAACTAATTATGGAGATTTAAAAGTATTATTTCTGCGACTGTATTTGATAATACTCTCAGTTTGTCAGTTTGTTTGTATTAATTTTTACTTTTAGTAAACTGAGGTACAAATGCTTTTAAAACCATTAATGTCTAAACAGTTAAATATTAATGCAAACAAAAGCGGAAATATTAAATACAGAAGGTGTAACCATTTTTTTCTATTATCTAAGCACAAAATGTTTCATTTTCTTAGTCATTCCATATTATATTAATTTCTGGGGTCTCATATATGTATATAATGAAAATAGTATATCCTAATTAAAAATATCTAAATTGATATTTTTTCATTTATTTCTGTAAGTGCGCACTGCACTATTCAAAAAAATATGCTTATTGTACTTATTCAATTGTTTTAAGATTTTAATTAAGTATATTTTATACCGATCTCTGAAATTTTAAAAGATAATTATTAATTTTGCTAAAAGACAGGCATAATTTTACTGTAATGGATTGAAAAATTAAAGTGCAATATAATTTATAAATTATTTATTATGGCAATAATTTTATTAATTGATTTTTTATATTGTAAAATGACCCCAGAATTAAACTTTTTATACATTAACCAACGTCACATAATCATCTAATTCTTGTGCGGTTGTACTTAATAAGCACTTTTTAAGTACTTGAACAGTGTATAGACATACTTAATAAGTAACGACAGTACATTTGGCGGTAAAAATAATTCCTCTAGACAATCGCGCCACGCTGGTGCATCGACTTAGCTATTCGCGCCACAATGGCGCCTTAATAATTTTAAAGCCATTTCGATATTTTTCAAGATTTTGTACCTTCTTCAATCAATGTTCTGATGTTACTTATTATTTCACTGTCATGTCGCACTGTACATTATTCTTAGTAACTTTAATGTGTAAGATCTATCATGAGGATTAGCTACTTACATTATTGATAATAATTTGTTTGTGAAATTAAATAAATAAATTTTGAATTTTATACTTTTGTTTTTCCTGAATCTGCCTTCTTATGCCGTAAACATTTGGTCGTTAGCCCCACTGCCGGATTTAGGGGAGGGCATTTTCGGTTCCGATCGTTAACTCTAAGATTTAATTTCAGATAATCCTTGTTCCCGTTTATATTTGGTTCACAATAAATTATTTATTGAAAAACTCGACTGAAAAAAAATTGTTTACTTTATTTGGAAAATAATTTGGGGTGAGAGGGGAGGCCCTCTGTTGCCCCGAGGCCTCTGGACCTCTAAATCCGGCCCTGGTTAGCCCGTATTCGGGTGAACGGCCAAATGTAATCACGCCATGTTCTTTACGTTTTAGCTTCGAAGTTGGCTACGCGGTTGTTTGTTGGCCACAAAGTTGAATGATTCCGGGGCTGAAGTTACATAGCTATCATCATCATCATCAGCCTATTAATGTCCCCACTGCTGGGGCACAGACCTTCCCTATGGATGGAATAGGGAGATTGGGCCATGACCCGCGCGGGCCCAGTGCGGATCGGTGGGTGCTAACGACTGCAGATGCAGCCGGGACCAACGGCTTAACGTGCCTTCCGAAGCACGGAGTGACTCGAGATAGTAAATTTTTGATCACCCATCCAATGACCGACCACTGCGAAAGTTGATTAACTTCAACGATCGCAGCCGAACGCGCTAACCACTTGCGCCATCGAGCTCCTCTCTTACTCACTTTCACTTCGTTAGTTGCTAATGACCAACGACTTGACGTGCCTTTCAAAGCACGGAGGGGCTGAAGATAATAAATCCATTACCCATCCTAAAGGCCTGTCAGCTGCGCAATGTTTTGAACACTGTTTGTTCAAAACATTTCCCGTCCGCTGCCACTTCAGCAAAGTTCGGCAAACAAGGTTTTGTATCAAAACTTCACATTAAAAAAAAAATGAGCAGCGACGAGGAAGACGTGAACATTGTTTTGGCTGTAGTGAATTTAGTTTTCTTTTTTTCGATTGAATTGTGAACTGAGGCTCAATCATTTTGTGCTCACAGAGTTCACAGAAGTACCATAAGCTCGGCCACTTCCGCGAAGACATTTGACTTTTTTAATTTTATTTTCATTTGAAGTTATATTACTACGGGTCTTTCATGTATCAACATGATTAATTCCAGTGTTGTCTCTGGATTCCACTCAATGCACTCCATCATGTTGTTCACATCAAAACACGTCTTCCTTACGCCAAAATCAAACATAAAATCAAAAATGAACGATTCCACCCCCCCCCCCCCCCCTCCCCCCGCCTGCAGACGAACTGGGGGGATGTTTTCTACAAACTAATTCAAATAATACTAATGCAAACACGTTCAAATGTAGTTTCTCAACAAAAAATTGAGGCCACACTCCTTATTTATGCTTTCAAACAATGTTCTGTACAAAACATGGCTCAGCGGACAGGCCTTAAGATCTATTACAGAAGTTTGTCAACTCCCACGATTTTGTCAACTGTATTGTCAAGACCTTTGGTGTTTGTAGTTTATTGGAACAATAATTGATGAGAGCACCGATAAATGATTGATAATGAAGACGTGTGGAATTCTCTCATGTCATAAGAAAGTTTATGCCTGTGTTTTTTTATTTATTTTGCACTACAATTCAGAATAGTAAGGTATCCTATGTTTATTAAATTACTCAGACAGGGGCAAGCCCTACCAATAAAATAAACAATACAGACAAAATTAAAAACTTCTTACAAAAAAAAGAATATTCATAATCAAAATCACTATTAAAATTCTGTCAATGTCTTTTCGTTTGTGAAGATTTGTGAGAGAGTTTTTATCAAAATCCGTCATTTTTACAAAACAATTATTTGTTAACCAATTGCTATAGTTTTAAATAATCAGTCTTGTGATCATTATAAATACAATTTTCATATAAATCTATTAGCAAAATGCCTGCCACAGTCGAGCAAAAAACTATAGATCCAGAAGCAGAGCTGAGCAATGTGCAGAGAACGGTAAGCGGTTTATTTTCTCTTTATTGGATCACCAACAGTTACTACATCAATACATCTTATTTAATACAATTTTACATTCAGTGATATAATGTGTAACCACTCACTCAACTCATCATGCATTACATAAAACTAGCTAATAATAAATAATTACAAGCTTAAGCAGATTAAGTAGAATTATAGTTTTTCTTAAGAACTCTTTCTTAGCAAATTATATCACGCAGTCCCCCTAGGCCCCTAACGATACTGATTATTGTAATTTAATTAATCAATATTTAACAAATAGCAATTTTTTTCGCGTTCAAGTCCCATTATAGACAAGATGATTTTTTTCCAAGGAAAAACTTGGCAACTTTAGTCTAGTATAGTAACTTATCCTTGTCTAGTTCTTACGAAACGAAGTATGATTTACTTTCATCTTATTGAATATAAGAGATTTGGTTACACAAATCTTAAATATAACGTTCTTTAACAGAGTAACGAGGTAGTAGGTAGGTACTATACTAATAAGAACGACAGAACACTGTTCAACCCTTATTATATTTTCATACCTATAATATTCTGAACAATTCCCAACCGACTGCATCAGGTTTACAGAGAAAATTTCTACACCACGTCATGTGAATAGATAGTGATATTGGACCTTCTATATTAAAAAAGTCTGATAAGAGCAATCGCAAATATAGAGCATTGCGGAACAGAAGGTGAGTGGTATGTTCACCGGTTTTCATGGTGATCGCCTAGTCGCTTGGGACGTCATGAGATCGAACCTCACGGGGCAAATGTTTGTATGATGAAAAGAAACAAGCTTTTGTACCTTAGTCATGTCATGTCTGTTTATATTTATTTCAAGAAAACTAAACTTATAATGTATAATCTATAGCGTAAGCTCAAAGGTGTGAGTGTTAACGGAAAGAAAATGCCACAGAGCAGCCTTTTACAGCCTTCTAATCTATTCCTTAAATAAAACAAGTTTCAACGGGTTAGATGCACTGATTTTATTTATTTATTAACGTTTCGCAGCCTTTGCAGGGATACGTGGTCAGAATAATGATTTTTTCTATTCCTTAATTACCTATATTTTGAACAGTTTCAAAAGCTGGCGCCGATGTGCAGCGTAGAGAAGCGTGCGGCTGGTATCCCACAGCTGGCCCCGCAGGAGAAGCAGCTGGGCATACTGGCCCACGAACTCAGGGAGACCCTGCTGTGCATCACTGTGAGCTCTTTATTTATTTATTCTCCTTTACCAAAATACAGTAAATGGCGGACTTAATGCCATAGGCATTCTCTACCAGTCAACTAGTTAGGGTGTATGAGACGGATGGTTTTAGAACAGAGTACGAGCTGCTACAGTTAGAAAATAATAAATTATCCTTCTGAACTATACTGTACGATAAAACCATAAAATGTTTGTTTGTTTGTTTCAAAATTAAGAAAAAATAAATTACTTTTCTACTGTCGATATATATTTAATTATTTATAAATTACTAGTCATACATATATAATTATATACATACAGTAAATTAGTTGGAAATAACTAAATAAGATGGTATAGATTACAAAATATTAGGGAAATATAGGTTGTTAGATAGAAAGATCTATACTTCCCTACTAGGGTCCTTTAAAAGCTGGCATCGATGTGTAGCGTGGAGAATGTGAATGTGTGGTGAAGTGACTCAGATACTAGTGGTCTAGAGGCTCCAGACGGAGAGGAGACTCCTCCGTGGGGAGATACCATCCGCCTTGAATACCTCTAGAGGTACTCGCCAATTCTCGGCTTGAGGTCCCCATAGGATCTCGCCGTCCCCAAACCCGGTGACGCTGTAAAGGTCATCTGCGACCAACAGCATACACACTCTAAAAAAAGGGGAGAAGTGTGTGGCCCCGCAGGAGAAGCAGCTAGACATATAGGCCCACGAACTCAAGGAGACCCTGGTGTGTATCACTGAGCCCTACACCGCCCTACTAAGTCCTTTATAAGCTTTCGCCGATGTAAGGAGAAGTGTGCGGCCCCACAGGAGAAACAGCTAGGCATACTGGCCCACGAACTGAATGAGACCGTGCTGCGTATAACTGTGGGGCCTACAATATTCTACTAAGTCCTTTAAAAGCTGGCGCCCATTTGCAGCGTGGAGAACAGGGGTGATGACGGGGTACAGTAAACGAAATTCTATTTAGTCCGTCAGTTAGATGATCAAAAAATAATGGACACGTATTTTTTATTTGGGCAATCAACCAAAAAATGACAAAGTTATAGCGCGTCAAAGTTTGGGAGTAGGGGCTCGTGACGTCACTTTTGAGTGAATTTTCCCTTATAAGTGTACTCAAACGTGACGTCATGCGACTTTACAAATCAATATATCTCTGCAATGTTTATATTATGTGAAAAAAGAAAAAATACGTATCCAATACTTATTGATAATCTACCTGATAAACGAAGAAAAAAAATTAGTCATCATCCCTACTGTGCTGCTGGCATCCCTCAGCTAGTCCCGCAGGAGAAGCATCGGGACATTCTACCCCTCGAACTGAAGGAGACTCTGCTGTGTATCTATGTGAACCCTACACTTCTCTACTAGGTCCTTTAAAAGCTAGCGCCGATGTGCAGCGTGGAGAAGCGAGCGACTTGGTTCCAGCAGCTGGCCATACTGGCCCAAGAACTCTAGGAGACCCTGATGTGTATCACTGTGACTTGCGCTATTTTATCCTTTATAAGATTGTTAACACCAACAACCTTATTATAATTTTTAAGTACCATAAAATGTGGTTTGTATGTTAATTAATTAATCTACTTACATTAAACTTTAATCCTAATTCTAATGATTCCTTCCATAGCTCGCCACGAAAGGACAGCATGCGCTTCGAGACAGTATCGTTAAGAGCGGCACCAAGCACTCCATCGTGGAATACGAGCAGCTGGAGTCTGTGCTGCGTGACGAGAAGGCACAGCAGGCGGAGCTGGACTGCCTCAACTACCTCGCGCAGAAGCAGCTGGTGGAACTGCTAAAAAGAGTACCCACGGAGGCCGATGTAAGTATTCCATCAAAGAAATGGAATGCTCAGTCCACTCACGTGTTCCCTCCCTCTAACAACCTGGGATCCTTTAAAAGAGGCGTGAATAAGCAACAAGTAGGCCTTCAGGGTGAGGATGGCTGGTGTGGCAGGTAGAACTGCTATATCAGTTATTTTCGAGTCTGGACTTCGCCTTCACTTAACATCAGGTAGGGTGAAGTCATTTGTCGGACCTATCTATAAAAAAAAGAAAAGAAAAGCTTCTCCCTGTGTTCTTAATATACGTAGGTATGTTGTGCTAAAACTCAGAATAGGTAGTAAAGTATCCATGCTAGTTAAAACGAATACCATATTGTAAGCTTGTTTCCTATCGTAAAGAGAAGAACTGCTCAAACGAGTGCCCACGGAGGCTGACGTAGGACCATCGTTCGTCCTCTCTGCCCGTGCAGATGTTCCCTCCATCTTGCGACCTAGGGATCTTTATAAGAGGCATGGAGAAGAAACTTGCAATCTGCTTTGTATCTGAATTCTATATAAGTCCACAACTACACCAGAGATCGTAGACATATAATGGCCATCATTCGTTTGAATGCTTAAACTTTAATAAGTATTTAAATAACGGCACTGACTTTTAAGTTTTCACTCGAATCCAATAAGAAGGCAATCACGCCCTTGGATGCAAAACACTGCAGCTTTAACAAATTGCTCTGTTCCTGCAGTTTGTAGGATTGCCAGAATTTCACAATGCAGGTTTATCAGATTTCAGCCGGCATAAGGATGATACATTTTTCTACTGCATCAACTTTCTTCTGTTGAGAAGGGTAGAGATTTATAATGATCGGGTTATGCAAAAGCTGGCTATTATAATAGAATATTTCCATAGATAACATATAATGAAAAAGGATTTGATTATTAGGAGCTGGCGATGATTGAGAACGCCAACAACTGCTTGCGCCGCATGGAGAACCGGCTGGATCTGGCCACCAAGCGGTTCTGCGTCGTCAACGCAGATAACAAGCGCGTCCGGGAGGAAATACATCGACTGCTGGTCGAGAGGTTGTCAAATATTACCCCATAAGGACCAATTCCTTGATATATCATCATATAATTCGTTGTATAGATCACAAAGAGACAGGGCAAGGTAGAACGTCATCATCAGCCTATTAATGTCCTGGATTAATATACCGCAGGGGCACAGGCCTTTCCTATGGATGGAATAGGAATAGACTGGGCTGTGATCCACGCGGGCCCAGTACGCCAGTGCGGAAAGGTGGCTAACAACTGCAGATACAGCCGGGACTAACAACTTCATTCTTCTTCTTCATCATTCTTCATGTGAAGTGGTGACCAAGAGTGCAAATGAAATAAGTTTTAAGTCACCCATCCAATGACCAACCATTGCGAAAGTTGCTTAAGTTTCACGATCGCATGCGGAATGCGCTAACCACCTGTGACATCGAGCTCCTCATAACAGGTCACATAAAAAATAATACAATTAAACGTATTCTTAAGGTTGGTCCTGCGCTCTCGGCATGCATTCTGGGGACCTCTGACCTCAAGTGCGTGTCAGATGATCGGTACAGGAGTATTGTCTATGGCTTTTAGTCGGTATGTCCCTGTTCATTTCAAATAGATCTATACTGGACCATAGGAACGGAACAGTCCTCACATAATATACTCATTGTATGATGACGAGGAAGGCTTTACACCTTTCCCAGACAAGAAAATCTTCTTGTTCGTACATATATACTATAATGATAGGTAGATAGTATATGGTAGAGAATAAAGCCCGATTTGATTGCTACTGTATGTAGGTCTATTTGAAACTGAGCCTTTATTTAAACGGCATGTTTTATTAATGTATGCCTTAGAAACGACTTCAACATCCAATGGAACCGCACCATCGGCAAACTGGTGAAAGGCAAGGAGTACCTAATGGACATATTCGAGATCGCCGCCGTAGCATTCGGGAACAGAGACGAATGCTGCAGGAAGCTGGAAGCACTCAAATGGAAAGGACTCTTCCAACTGAACAGGGATATATCGGTTAGAAAAAATATCTTTTATTATACTGTATACTCGATAGTTTTTACTCTAAATGGAGGAAAATTTAACGTGTAGACCGAATAAACGCTCGTTCATAGGACGCGACACATTGATTTTTACTCGCTTTCGAGTTAAACTCGAGTAATACCATATACATACGGACGGACGGACCACGGTACAGACCATTTAATTAACGCATTACACCTTATATTCATGTAAATGCAGCGAATCAAAGTTGCAACAGCTAGAAAAATAAAAATCTACAAACATTTCGCATGACATGACCATCATTTTGATGCGTGGCTTTCCACAGCCATGCGATTTTGACGATTTCATCATATATGACAAAACTGTAGAATATATTATCGCCAGCAGTGTTTCCGCACCAATACGACCGGAAAACCTTCAAAAAATAGCGCACTCATTCTTTAAATACCGGTATCGCATTTGTGATACTCCTGGTGTTGGATACCTTTGGGCGACGGAGATCACTTAGCATTAAGTGAGCCGTCTGCTTATATGCCCACTATGATATAAAAATTCTGCCACCAGCTCCTCCATGAAGCGAGTTGCTTAGTACTTACCAACTAAGCAAGGTGAAATCTTCGGAAGTATGACATTTAAATCTAAGAAGAAACTTATCTTTTTAGGAAATGCAATCATACGAGGGGGAGTTGAACCACCTAGCGAAGTTGGAGGAGTTTCTCCGCGTGAAGGGCTCCCGCAGGATCTGCGAGGCTGATGAGAAGGAGGAGATCAAACGCCAGGACGAGATTCAGCGGTGCGAGCAGGAGATCGCGAGACACGACGCAATCCTTGAAGCCATATTTGTGAGTATATATAATAATCTTCGAACTGGATCAGTTAGGTAAAAGGTTTAAGTACGCACGAACGTTAATGATGGAAGTAAGTACTGCTTGGTAGTGGTTTTTAAGCCACTATTTGAGCAGCATCAGCTTATTTATGGCACTGCTGGGACACAGCGAGTTCCTTATTTTCTCCTGAAATAGAAATCGAATGTGATATATCTTACAATATTTTTAAGCAATTCAAATTGTGAGACCAAAAGACGAAGTAGGGGTAAGTTAAGACATAAGAGGAAGATGACTTGTCTATGACTTACTTACAAATCTTCGACGCAAGCTGGTGTGGTAATTATGTCTGAATTCAACTCTATCACAAATGCTTTCAGTTTGAAACTTAACTAAATTATTGTTAGAAAAACCTCCACGTGGACCAGGCAGCAGACGGAACTCGAACTTAAATTTAAACATTTAGAAGATAAATGCTTAAAATATATTTATTATGTTTTTGTTTCTGAACCATAATTACTCATCAGGAGTATGCTGGAACAGATAGGGTGGCGACGATCATCCACCATTTTAAGATAGTGGAGATCGAGAACTTCTCGACGTTCGTGCTGCTATGCGAGGTGCTGCAGGAGTCCATCATCGTCAGGAGGGAGCTGGAGATCATGCGCCAGAAGATCCGTAAGCAGAAGTTAGAGTAGTAGACGATTTACTACCAATCCACACTGATAAATAAAAAGTAATTCTTCAAACAAGTACCGGCTTCTGATTTTCCTTGTTTAAACCTTTAGAGCCTAAAGTAAACTTCTGTAAGTTAATCAGCAGAATAAATAGTCCTTTTATTACAAAACGTAGACTAAAGTTAAACCTGGACTAAAACTGATACTGTCACTTTTGTTAGCAAAAAAAGAATACAAATTAGGCGTAAACCTAACTTTAGTCCTCGTTTTCCAAAATCGATAAAGTGAAAGTCTAGGCAAGCAAGTAGTTTTAAATTCTTCATCACACGACTTGCCGCCAATCTCTATGTATCACATGATCAGTGCCGTCTTTGACCTATTGGAGGTCCTGGGCATATTAGGATAATGACTTCCGTGATAAAAATAAGTAGTTGTGTGAAGTGCCCGGCTGGATCGGATGCGAGAATTCTAGAACATTTTTAGAGAGGTAACGTAGTAACCTCCACGTTACAAAAGACAGTAAAAAACACTACCTTTTTATGGTGTTGTGTTCCTGCTAGTGAGTAGGGTTCCAGGGCTCCGCGGGGGTAGGGGATTGGGTTTTCGGCCGGCGAGGTGAGGGTGGCTGAAGCGGTACACTTTCTACCGCATCATTTATCTTCGCCACTTCAATCAAGTTTGATAGAGTTGCCGCATTCGATACAACAGATTGCCGTATTTTTAAATAAAAATCATGATATTGCCGTATTAACTAATTTTATTTATTAAAATTTATAGGTAGTTGGTAACTACATAATAGTAACTATAGTATAAAGGACATAAATAAAAAATTAACCTACTCATTAATATCACCGTCATACAATTTTTTAATAGACAACTATTTTGCTGTCGTGTTTTTAATTTTCAGCCACATGTCACGGGCTAAAATGTTGTACAGTTTACTTGATTTCTGATGGATTGCTTCGCCAAAAGAGTTCTGTTTACAGTTTCAGAAACTAATTTAGTTATACTGCACGTGGATTCCCAGTAAGGATACATTCTCCGTGCTAGGGATGTACCTAAACTACAATTTTATACGATGTTTTGTTGGAATCGTAATTAAAAATATTATCCTTGTAAATCGGTTCAAAAAAATCGGATTGGATTGCCATATATTATATAATGTCGTATCAATGGCAACGCTGCTTCACTTCCACTTAACATCAAGTGAGGTGAGAAAAGAAGATAATATTAAGAATAAAAAAATATATACCCGCAGTCGACCAACGGGACATAAACGAAGCTCGAGAGGAGAACCAGGACAAGAAGGTAGCCGCCAAGACGCTGGAGCTGGAGCAGATGCGCGCGCGCAACGAACACATGCGGGATCTGAACACGGCCGCTGATCTCACCATCGTCAAGGTGCTGAAGGGTATCGACGATTTAGTTAGGTTTGTCGATGTAACTATCTTTGAATAGGGATAATGACTTGATTTTTTTCTTTGTCCATCAGATAAATTATCAAAAATAATTGGACACGTATTTTTGTAACACAATCACAAGATAACAGAGATTAAATAACGCCACGTTTAGGTACAATTTCTACTTAGAAGTGACGTCACGAGCCCCCACTCCCAAACTTTGACGCGATTTGTCTTGTGTCCATTATTATTATGAAAAAAAGAAGCACCAGCTGTCCATACGCTTAGATTTTTTAAATTAGGCAACGGATATTAATGCTTTTCTCAGCAATAGTCATTCAAGAGTACGGTTTATACGTATGTACAAAAGCTAAAACTATAGTCTTCGGACGAATCACTATTGTAAAATTATCAAAATAATGTCACAATAGTATTGTCAGACATCTTATTTCGTAAAAGTAGAGTTAATCCGATAATTATTTTGTTCTCTCTCTTTCACAATCTCTTGTTTAACAGACGTTCTCAAACTTATTTTATTTCCCGCCCCTTTTAAGGACGAATTATCATCATCAGCCTATTAAAGGCTGGGGCACAGGCCTTCCCTATGGATGGAATAGGGAGCTTGGGCCATGACCCACCACACGGAGCCAGTGCCGATTGGTGGGTGCTGACGACTGCAGACGCAGGCGAGACCAACGGCTTAACGTGCCTCTCGAAACACGGAGGAGCTTGAGATAGTAATTTTTTGGTCACCCATCCAATGACCGACCACTGCGAAAGTTAGTTAACTTCAACGAACGCGCTAACCACTTGCGCCATCGAGCTTCTCTCGATTGAATTACATTGTAGCGTAATTATTATTTTTATTTATTTATATAGACTGGCAAGATGCGACTTCTCCCCGCTGCTGTCTCTGCTCGGCAACCACAAAGAAGTGACCAAATGGAACGTGCCCAAATTTCTCCGGATACTGGAGTCTGAAGTCAAAAGTCTCATAGAAGTAGCCTATGGTGCTGTGAAGGTACGCTTCTTGGTGGCATCAGAAAAGCATGAGTGACATGACGATTGACACCTTACCAACTCCTGGAAATGCCTCCTCTGTACAGTCGAAAAAGTTAGAAGACTGTTTCTTCTCATAAAGAGACCACCAATTTGGTTGATAGTTACGCCGCACAGATGCCAACATTTATCTTTCTTAAAGTATCTACTTCAACGATATTCAATAATGTTAAAATGTTCTTCGAAACCTGGCAGGATATTCTGTCTCATATTAGGGTAGACTATATAATCATTGGCCCCTTAAGCGGATCTTGATTTATTTGTCTGTAGTTAATTAATTTATGGTGAGCTATCAGAGTTATCGACATAGCCCACCGGATTAGCAAGTTGAAGTGGCAGTGGGCTGGCCATATTTGCCGAAGAACCGATAACCGTTGAGGTAGACGAGTTCTGGAGTGGAGACCGCGTCTAAGCAATCGTAGTGTAGGACGTCCTCAGGCACGATGGAGTGACGATTTGCGCTGGAGCTGGATGCGAGTAGCCCAAGATCGATCTGAGTGGCGTGCATTTGGAGAGGCCTATGTCCAGCGGACTAAGATAGGCTGTTAATGATGATGATGAGCTTTTATCCCACCCACCTCTAAAACCAGTCCATACAACCGCCTCAATACTGCTGGATGGGGTAGCCCTATTGCCCACTGGAACTCTAAGATCTGCTCCCCTAGCCGGTGGTGGCGGAGTGGGCTCCTTATTGTGAACAAAATCAACCACACTGCCACCGGCTATAGCCGATATCCTGCTCGATCTGTCTGTTGACATACCTACTCTTGCAGCCTCCAGCGCCGACGCCTAAAGCACGCAAGGGGCCCGCCGGGCCAGCGGCGCCCAAACTTGTGGCAGACCCCTACGTGGAGCCGCTGCACCCCAACAGGATCGAGAAGCTGGTGCCCTACCAGCCCTGCGCTTAGTAAGAACCACCATTTATACTTACAGTGCGATCAAGATAGTGTGGTACTTTTATGATATTGACAGGAGGGCGCTGTTGGAGCAGAAGTGGTGAAATGAGGATTACCATATACGTATTTAATCTCCTCACTAGGAGATTAAATACGTATATGGTAATCCTTCCTCCATAAAGTACGTCATACTAATTTCGTGATTTTTTGCTAGAAAAAATCCACACGGACCAGGCAGCAGACGAGACTCGAACCCGCACCGTTTGCTATCGGGCGAATGCACTGTAAATTATGCTACTGCAGCCCTGATGGCCGTGATGAATTTACTCTAGCATTTCTTAGGCCGCAAGGCAACGCCATCTGTTCTCATTGTGGGTTACCTGCTTAAAAAAATATAATGTTACTATTATTTTAGGTATTTATTTGATATTGTGGGAATAATTACTCGTAAACCCACTGGCAAAAACTGTTCGGAATGGTGGCACAACGGGTAAAAAAAAATACCCTTAGGCCCACCAGGGGAACATTTTGGTGGGACCACTGGTAAATGGTCCAATCAGCAGGCCCGTAACAATGCAATAATGATTTCTTATTTTTTTTTACTTTTTTTCAGCTGCGTTGAGGATTACATAATGAACTTGGTGTTCGAGACTCCGGCTGTGCCCGCAGATAAGGAATACATCGAGGGCATATTCCACCTCGAGGACGTCAACACCAAGTTTGGCATCTACACGCTCACCATACCAGCGTTAGTTGGAGTTTTTATTGGTCTAAATCAGAATAAGACGGTGTGGTGTGGTGTTATGAAATTACTATGCAAGTGAAAGGACAATGTTAAAATTGCCCTAAGAACCAACACCAATTTGGCATTTATGATAATTCATAGTATATTTTTTGCGATAATTATCAGTATTTAGATTGTGACGGACACTTCCAGTTAAGTAAGCTACATTAAAAAGTTAAAAAATAATCTGAGACAATAAATACCATTTTATGTGTATAATCTATGACAGCGCTGCAAACAAAACACTATTTCTTCCTAATGGCAGCACTTCGCTTGGCTATTTGTATTTGTTATTTTAAAACATGACATCAGTGGTAGTTTTCCAATTACAGCACTAGAGCGCATTATGCGGCATAATGCTTAACATTGAATGTTTCAACTACAGCAACGATTCGTACAATCGAGCACTCTCAAAAGTAATGTTTTCGTGTGATGCGTGCAATCTTACCAACTCAGTGACATAAAATAAACAAGTGTTTTTTCTTTAAGTTGGCATTGATCGAAATGTTTTATTTATTTAATATCGTTAGTAATATTATTTATTGATGATTTTTTAAAGCTTTCGTTTCTTTGTTGTTTTTTTAAATAATCAAAGTTAATTCAAAATGTGTTAAAAATATAAATATAAGTATGGATAAAGGTACAAACATTGACTTCTTTTTTCAACACTGAACTTAGCGCAGTCTACTGGTGCATTTGAAAACTAATTCACGTTCCAATTAAGCATCAGCATCTGCTCAAGCTCTGTAATTGGAAAAGTACCAGACTGTCCTTTTCATTCCTTGGTAGTTTTTATTTTTTTTCCAATTACAGAGCATAATGTGCGCACAATGCTGAATTATGCTGATGCTTAATTGGAACGTGAATTAGTTTTCAAATGCACCAGCAGAGTGCGCTAAGTCAATGTTTGTACCTTCAGCCATACTTATATTTATTTTTTTAACACAGTTTGAATTACTTTGATTATTTAAAAAAAACTACAATGAAACAAAAGCTTTAAATAATTTTCAACAAAACTTAAAGAACACTTGTTAATTTTCTGTCACTGAGTTGGTAGATTGGACGCATCACACGAAAACATTAGGTACTTTTGAGAGTGCTCGATTGTGCGAAGCGTTGCTGTAGTTGAAACATTCAACGATAGCATTTTTCGCTCTAGTGCTGTAATTGGAAAACTACCCTTATTAAGCATGACAAGGACAAATTGTTGTCAAGTGAAGGGCCGGCATAAAACTCGTTACTCTGTGGTTGTGGTGCAGGCAATTTGCATTCGTAGTAATCTGCTGCATTCGTGCACAGTGTTGCCAACTCTACGTCTTTTTACGTAGATCTACGTATTGTAGGCCTTTTCTGGAAACCTACTAACTTCAGTCCCAGAATCTACGTATTTTCTTATTTTTTTTCATATTTGTAAAATAAGTTAATTCACTAGAATAAAGAAGAATATTTTCCGTTACTTTACTTAAAAACTATACAAATGTTTATTTCTTATAAAGATGTATCTAAACACTCTTGTATCTTGTAGAAAAGGTTCCCGTTATTGGTTTTGTTGACTAAATTAATGCTGGACGCAGGATTTGTGAAAGCAGAAACGACAAAATTTTTGACTTAGTAGGTACATTCATAACCTTAAAAAATTGTATTTTTAAACTTTTACTACTATCTATGAGTACCTACTCACATCGAATTGATCTTTGCAAAAAGAAAAGACTTTCAGTCGATAAAGTTACAGGATTTAGCAAGTTTTAAGCATATGTTCATGTGTAAGTATGTTTTTTCTCTTGGCAATTTAAACCACTACTTTTCTAGAGTCTTTTACCAAGTGTATCATGATAACTACTATATTTTCATGTGATCTATTAGAAATCATGGTTTTATAATATTAACTTAGCTGTTTATTTCCTACGTGCTTGCGAGTTTACACATTTTTGACGTCATAGCATAGATAAGTCTATAGACTAAAGAGCGTTTTTGTATGTCTTCTAGGTAAAAAAAAATTTTACTATTTTGGCTATCTAATATATGTCATCGATGTTATCAAAGAGAAGAGCCCTTATTACCAAGTGCTAGTGAACCTGTGCCACAACATCCTGAGAGGATCATACTGCATAATTATTCAAGAACACCTGATACACATTCACGCTGCATATTTTCACAATATACATGTGATATACATATAAATGCAATATACAATAAGATACAATTATGTGAAAAATAGTCAATAAATAAGAAACAAAACTACAGCTTTCATTTTATTCATGATTCCTAACTAACCAAGTTTTTCCTAACAGTTATTCTTTAAAATCGCACCGAATAAAATGAATTTGTTATAATATTAATTTACTTCATACTGAGTACATACTAAACATATTAAAAATACATATTATACATCCATGACTGGAGTACAAATGCTCGTATTCATCACACAAACATCTGCCCCCACCGAGATTCGAACGGGACCTCTTGGATCGGCGACACCATGAAACCCGGCGTACAAACCACTCGGCCACGGAGGTCGTCAAATCATTACCTCCCTCGGCTGGGAATCTAACCCGAGCCGCCCGCGTAGCAGGTAGGTTTACCATTTAGGAATTTCAAAAGTCCTGACAAAAATCCTGACATTTCGGAAAAAGTCCGGACTTTTTAGTTACGCAATGGTACCATTACTCTTAACAGGATTGTTACCATGTACATTATTACCACAAGGTACATGGTAACAATCCCGTTAATAGCTATAATGTTAGTGACCATGAAAGTTTAAAACAATATATTACTCACTTAGTTACAATGTTATGGTATTTACATCAATATATATTTTTACGATTCATCTATACTTATAATAAATCTGTAGAGAGGTCAATTCTGTACATGAAATATATTTTCAAAATAACTATCAGAGGGTGATTAGTGATCGATACTGATGCCAAAAATGCAATCAGTAAATTTTTTTGTCTGTCTGTATGTATGTTCCTTATAGAAACAAAAACTACTCGACGGATTTTAACGAAACTTGGTGCAATTATTCTTCTTACTCCTGGGCAGGTTATAGTATACTTTTCATCACGCTACAGTCAATAGGAGCAGAGTAGTGAAGGGAAATGTTGGGAAAACGGGAGAAGTTACTCCATTTTTTAAGCTTCCGTCGCGTGTGCAGCCTTAATGGTTAAAGTTACATAGAAATCATGTATGACGGAAATATTCTTCATAAAATTTCTAAAAAATTTCCTACAACAACATATGTCTATCTTTTATGGTTGACTCACAATAACACGTGTAACTCCTGATAGCTCAGCAGTTCGGAGCATTCTGATTATATTTGTTTACTCTTACGTTTATAATACTCTCACTCATCCCTAATTTAACAAAGTTTAGCATTATTACTAGGGATGCAAAGTCTTTTGAAATATCGATATTTATATCGAAGTCAGGAAAATATCGATATCCGATATATCGACCATTTTAACTCGATATTATCGATATATCGATTTTTTTTTATTTTTTTTTTAGAAACATTAGAATACGGGGTGAGTGTGACACATTCATATGTTTGTTGGCGAGTTTCTCGCAAAATGCATTGAGCCAGCTTTTTCTTTAAACACGCTTGATGAAATTGCGCCAAGCAGGATTTTTTTTTGGCTCGTACGGTTTGTGTTTCAGCCACGACAGGAAACCAAAAAATTAAAATTATTATCCTGATCAGATCACTCACATTTGTTAGCACGAATGCGCCAACCCGCATATGTGGGACGACATTTGCGAATGCCTTCGCTAAGTTTTCACTACATTCGTGCTTTTCCAAGCTATGTCGGTTTTTTAGCGCACATCAAATACGCAAATTGCTTAGTCTCCCACACATCAGGGGCGTGCCCATGGCTTCACAATAGGGTGACTTGGCGAGCTTAAAAATTTACGATTTGTATAAGATTCTTAATTTTATTTTGTGTTTTATATTACAATGATATTTAATTTCAATTAATCAGTAGTTGACAATTATCTAGAAAGAGAGGCAAGGATTTTATGTAAGTGCATGAGTTACCATTAGGTATACGATTATACCTATATACGTTGGTGTCAATTCTGGCATGATTATCTAAACTTAAAACTAAATTTAACATCAGTCTCTTTGTGTATCCTTGTCATTCTCTATACAGAATGACAAGGATACACTGTTGTCAAATTTAATTTTAGGTTGAGAGAATCATGCCAGAATCTACACCAGTTTAGTATATTTCTTGGGGTTCAAGATATTTTTAATACATCTATAAGCTCTTGCGATTTCAAAGCAATAGTTATTTCGATATTATTCAATTTAGATAGTCATAGCAGGTAAATTAATTGTTATTATCGATATTATCGATATTCCGATATATCGTTGCAACCCTAATTATTACCTATTCAATAAAAAAAAAGAATTAAATAAATAAATTCAATGTGTACAATACACGCCTGAGAACAAAAACTATAGTCTACATTACAGCTCTACACCGAAGCGAAGCGAAGGGCGGGCTACTAGTATTCAATATAATTTAAAAAATCCGGACATTGAAAGATCCGTACAAATCCCGGACTATAGTGTAAAAGTCCGGACATGTCCGGACGAGGTTGGGAGAGCTTTCTACCACTGAACCACAGAACACAGAAGGGCCTTGTGGGCGGGGCAGGCGCGCCACAGTAATGTGTGAGAAAAAGCTCAAAACTTGGTTCTGATTGCGTCGTTGCTCTCGGGTGTGACCGCTGATAGGTTCGATTGTTTGATGTCGATGATTAGTGTCGTTTGATTGGCTATTATCTATTAGGTGGAAGTATAGTGAGAGCGAACCGGCACTCGATCTATGATCGCCCTTGTAACCTCTTTCTGTGTTCTTCTGTCTTCTGCACTGAACCATCAACGCTTGTTGTTACGGTCATCATCATAACGTATGAACGATAGATTTACGTTATCCTGAACCCAGTGCCGTCTTTGACCTATTGGAGGCCCTGGGCATATTAGGATAATGGGGCCCCTACGACCCCCGTTTGGTGATTTAACAGGAACTAGGGACTTTGTATTTGATCTGAGGGGGGCCCCTATCGATCGCGGGGCCCTGGGCACTTGCCCAAAGTGCCCACTGGGAAAGAGGGCTCTGCCTGAACCACAATGATAAGATTGATAGGGTCTGTATTTTTATACATTTCATGCTACATACTAAAGATCAACGAAAAAATATGACTGTGATAAATGTAATTCTCACTTTAATAGTAAAAATGAAATACTAATACTACGGATAGCGAAAAGACAGAGACAAGAAAGGTCTTATAATAATTCAATTTACGAAAATAATATGAATAAATAATTAGGTACTTACAAAATAAGTACCCTCATTTACGCCAGATGGCAGCAACCCTCGTTGATTAAGGGACTGTGGTCCCACCGCTTTGACCTAATGGTGAGACCACGGTATACCATTATGTACCCGTGGTCCTACTACACTAAGGCGATTAATATGGCATCGATAAAAAGTAATGAAACCCCGACAAATTACTTTTGCAGACTTCTTATAATTGAATGGTTATTTGTTCTGTACAAGGATTACAACAAAATAATATTATTTAAATTTGACAGGTGACCAGTAGGACAAACCAGTTTTTTTTTTTTTTTTTTTTTGTTTCCTCCCAGGCGGGGGAGAGGGTGAGAAATCCTCATGGATACCCTACAGCCGGCTGTAAGGTTATGTCAGACTCCTACTGACTAAAAAACACCCTTTATTCATGCTTATGGCCAGAAGGGCCTTACAAGCTTCATCTGAAGCGATCACCCCCCGAGAGGGGGATGATGCGGACAAACCAGTGCGTCCACGGACCTTTAACCAACATGTACATTATGCTGACTACGGAAGTTTATTTTATTTTTGACCTCGTGCATTTACGGTACCGATACCGGCATGTGTAAAATTGATTATTTTCTTGTTACAGGAAACGACATCCATACAGGGGTCCGAAGAAGGATTGAGTATTACACTTCATGCATGTTCGAATTACTGTTATATTAATTTATGTCAAGCTATTGGAAATAAATTAATTTTATACAAAACGTCGTTATTATTTTTTATTCGTACCCAATAGTTGAAGTTAGAAACTTCTAGCACTTGTCCACGGCGGCGTACAATAACCCTTATTAACAAACGAGGAATAAGTTTAGACTAGTAACACCGCACCATGTATTGTTCATATTAGGGATGGCGATCTGATATCGATTAATCGAGGAATCGATTTATTGCAGCCAAAAACATCGTATTTTTAAATTGATATGTAGGTAGTCCTGAGTCGATTCAGTGAATCGGTATATCACCCTTGAAAATCGACATTAAATTTTTCTGTTTTGGTATAAACCATATATTAGACTAGTTGACACTTTTTGGAAGTATAATTGTTTTATTAGACCGAAAAAAAACTTGTATTTTTTTATACCTAGAAAGCTACAAAACTTTAATTTGAAAATAGATTTTTCATGAATATAAAAAACGCTACTGGCCATTTTAGTCTATAGATTATATATGGTATGTCGTCAACAAAATAGTAAACACACACTCGCAAGCACGTAGGAAATAACCTATTTGATTTTTTATTGCGAAACCATGATTGCTAATAGATTTCATGATAAATATAGTAATTATCATGATTGTATTATACAAGAATAAGGAAACACATCGTTAAAGACTCCAGAAATGTTGTGGTTTAAATTTCCTAGAGAAATGCACATACCTACACAGAACACACGTTTAAAACTGCCTAAATCCGGTAACTTTATCGTCTGAAAGTCATTTCTTTTAGCAAAAATCACTTCGATGTAAGTACTCATTGAATTATATTAAAAGTTAAAAAAATCCCATTTTTAAGGTTATGAATGTACCTACTAAATCAAAGAGTTTTGTCGTTTCTGCTTTCACAAATCCGGCGTCCAGCATTAATTTAGTCAACAAAACCAATAAACGGAAACTTTTCTTCAAGACAAAAGAGTTTTTAGATATATTTTAGTCCGACGAAAGAAACCACAGTAACACTACAATGACATTTAGTTGTTTACTAATTTGTTGACGTCACAATCATGTTGGACAGCGTTTTTAGTGTTTAAAAAGTATTGACTGAAAAACTATTTTTCAAATTAAATGACTACAGCCATCTTCTATCATCTTCTCGGGAGCAGTGGCGTGCATTAGGGGAGACCTATGTCCAGCAATTGACGAACATGGGTTGATGATGAGCCATCTTCTAATTTAATGAAGTTAAATCGATGTATTTAGGTTCTTCATACCAAAAATTATAAGAAATAAACATTTGTATAGTCTAAACCAATAAACGGAAACTTTTCTTCAAGTCAAAAGAGTTTTTAGATAAATTTTAGTCCGACGAAAGAAACCACAGTAACACTACAATGACATTCAGTTGTTTACTAATTTGTTGACGTCACAATCATGTTGGACAGCGTTTTTAGTGTTTAAAAAGTATTGACTGAAAAACTATTTTTCAAATTAAATGACTACAGCCATCTTCTATCATCTTCTCGGGAGCAGTGGCGTGCATTAGGGGAGACCTATGTCCAGCAATGGACGAACATGGGTTGATGATGAGCCATCTTCTAATTTAATGAAGTTAAATCGATGTATTTAGGTTCTTCATACCAAAAATTATAAGAAATAAACATTTGTATAGTGTAATTTGTCATGAGTCAACTAGCCTATTATTTACAATTACTTGAATGTATCCGTATTATAAGAGTGCTGCCGGTTTTTGAGTAATTAACTTAAAAAGTTAATTACTCAAAAATTCGCGAGATGGCTGTGTATTTAGTTTCCTTCGCCTCTTTTTAATAAAAAAAAATACATTTATAATCTTTGACTTTTTGTATCTATGATTGATATTGCTTCATTCATTAATTGTTTAACCCTCTGAATAATTCTTATTCTGAGGTTTAACCTCTCCAACGTCCGTTGACACGTTGACAAATTTAAGTTTAGCTTTAGAGACTCATGCCAGAACCGACGGCATATTATTTCGTTAAAACATTCGTTATAAAAAAACTATACAAGCTAGATCAAAATAAAAAAAATACCATTGCGTAACCCAGTTAATTTAAAATACCTGATCTGTTACTTTGATATGGTAATAAAAACAGCTGTTGTTATCGAATTCCCTGATTTTACTGATAAGAGGTCACTTATTATAATATTTAATTTTTTTAATAAAATTGATTTATACTTACATTGTAAACACAAACTTGGAAAAAAACGAGTTTTTAGAAATCCATTTATTAGACCACGATTTTTTTGTGAATCCATTCATTAGGTTACGATTCGAATTGATTATTTTCGTAAAGAATCGCTATCCCTAATTCATATCACAAGTGCCATTTGCAATTCAATGAACAGAGAAAAAACATAGGGGAACCTATACTAATGTTGGCCCCCCCACAATGATTGGCCGTCTTGCATTTCTACTAAGAAACTTTATACCTTTATTTGTACTATATCTTAAATATACTAGATAAAAACTATACTTTTTTCATGAATGACACTTGTTTCAAATCTGTTGAGGGGTGGAGACGTTTCTTCCAATTGTGTTAAGTAGTAGTTTTTCCAGTGATGATCACTAAAGGAGACATTCTATGGACACAAAAATTTTTTTTTTATTTATAATGGTAACTCCTTTATCTCGGCACTTCAATTTGATAGTGGTGTTTGCTATTTGTAAACTTGACATCAGTCTGTCGCTTTCATTTCTTATTAGCATGCATAAGGACAGACTGTTGTCAAGTCAGCAAATACCAAACACGAATAAACAAGAGAAGTGCCGGCCTTATAGTTTTGTTATATGGCAATTTTGTCGAAGCGACAAGTGTTGCCTGTAAACAAAATTATCCTCAAAATGTAGTTAAAAGGTGTGGTGTACTACCACTATCTCTGCCTTAAATTGCCTCAAATAAAAAGTATCTTATGTTTAGGGTGAGAGGTTGTTTGTTTGTCTGAGTGTCAAGGCAAAACAGTCCTAGCATTTTTTTTAGTTACTTGGTTTATGTTGGGTGGTACTCCCGCCCTAGCTAAGCTAAAGTTTTAAAAATGTTAAAGAAACACTCCAAAAGTTTCACTTGAATCGAGGTTTCATAAAACCGCATCAATTTTATTTTCTGTTTTCATTCTATACGGAAATATGACATGGCACTTTCAGTAGGAAAAACAGAAAACATTGAAGTTAAAAGAATTTAAATCATAAAAAAAAATTGTTTAACAAACGCTAGTTCTAGATGGGGTAATCAGCCTACAACAGATTTAAATGGAACTTTTAGGCTAGCTGCTTGCCACACTGGTGATGTGTTTCTCTTGTTTGAGTGTGTGAGTGATGTCCCCGCCATTGAAAATCATTTTAGCCGAGTATTGAAATAGGTTGTTCCTTTAATAATCGGCAAAAATCCCTATAATCTTTCTCCTTTTACTTAATCTATTCAGTCATATTCCGTGGACAAACATTATATCCAATGGCAGACAGAGACACAGATGAGTTAAACATCGATAACGTAATAAAAAAATTACTAAAAGGTAAATGTTGATATTTGTTGGAGTAAACGAAATTGTTTCTAGTATCCGTGAAATTCAGTGAAATAAGTGAAATGGTGATACGCCCTGTGATAAGGGGGTGAATATTTGTGTTTTACAGTGTTTAGTGTCATGTTTTTATTTGGCTGTTTTCAGTACGGGGCGAGAAGCCTGGTATGAATGTTCAGTTAACAGAAATAGAGATCAAAGGGCTATGCTTGAAATCGCGAGAAATCTTCTTGTCACAACCAATATTACTGGAACTTGAAGCACCGCTCAAAATATGCGGTAAGTACCAAATAAAGTTTCTGGAGCAACACAACCAACCACTTTCGAATCTTTAAACGGCTTCCCTTGCCTTTCGATGTGCCAACAAACTGTTACGCTAACGATTACAACAAGTAAATACAGAAACATCATGTTACCAAAGCATTGAATACACTTTTATGTTAGGTTTGTGGGTGGATTCAAATTTTGTTTTTATGCCACACTGGGAACGATGCCATAGCTATAAAGAACATGGTTCTAATTTGTATCGAGAGTGGTTGTGAGTCTCTGCAAGACTCCAAATTTTTATATGATGTACAGCACTTAATTGTAAATTGTTTGACAAAAAACTAGAATTTAATTTATGCCTGTTTTTTTTTAAATTATTATTAAATGTATAATCAAATGGCAAGTTAATTTACTTACTTTTTATCAAAGCATCAAATATTTTCTATTCTAATTAGTAAGTAAAGCAGTGATAATTATTCTGTTCAACTTTCATTACATTATTAGGTATTTTCTGGTTATTTTATTTCAAGAAGAATCAATGATAAATTGATATATTATTATAAAAAATTATGATTGATTCTTCTTCACCACAATTTCATGAATATCATGCATGACTAGACTGAATACATTTGCCTTAGTGATCGAATTGATGTTACAAGCTGCCACACACTAAAAAACAGATGTTACTTATGACAAGGTGGCCAGCATTCTTACAAAATTGTTCAATTGTTAAACACAATATAATATTAATCTCATATAAATAAATAAATTAAAGTATCTGTTCATGTTATAATATAAAAGAAGCTTTTAAATGATGTATGTTGTGTCAATGCCGGAAACCAACTACCACTTTTGAACTATCTCCTTAAAAAGTCATGTGGGAATGATTTAATTGTAAATATAAATACATGGTTATTTAACTGAAACTGGATCCTCCATCTTTTGCTATCAAAAACAACATGAACTCTATCTAATGATGTTCACTGAGGCAATTTTATGTGCACAAATAAAACTAACCAGAAGTGTTTGCAAACCAATAAAACAATAGAATAAACTAAGGTTGTAACTTCTTATTAACAAAAATTATTGATTGTAGTCAGATTACTGTTTTACCAATTTTAAATCGTATACAGCATTTAAACTCCAAATTATGCTAATTGTTCTACCTAGAATTGTTTTTACTTAATTAACTTAAATAAAATATAGACAAAGGTTATAAAATATAATGTTATTTTAGCTGACTCGGCGAACTTCGTACTGCCCAAAAATAATATTGCAACTGTAAATTGAGCTGTAAGCTATCCTATTTTTCAAGTTGGATCAAACTGCACATGGTGTGCAAATTTGATTAAAATCGGTTAAGTAGTTTAGGAGTCCATCCCCGACAAACAATGTGAAGCATAATTTTAATATATTGAGATAAACAATTATTATTATTGGATTTCAAATCAGTCATAACATAAGAGTAGAAAAGTACAAAGTTTATTTAAACCAATTTAATAAAATGGTTAGACATGATTTACAATATGTACAAACTTGCTTTGAAACTGTGAGTAGGTAACATATTACTTTTAACCAATAGAAATAATCTGTATATCAAAAATCTATTCTGTATTTAGGCACCCAGGCATTTATTTGAAGTATACTTTATTGCAGGTAGAAATTATTTTCTTTCTTTGTTATGTTATCAGTTCTTTTTATTTTATTCAATTAATAAAGTCACCTTTCCATTGGTTGACAAGACATTGTTGAAAAAAATTACAGTGATAAAGTATATGAGTCATAACTATTATCAATGAAGATATGAATTTGCAGCTGATTACATCAATATTCTGAGTGATTTTTGAATTTTCTGGTATCCGTCAAAATTGAAAAAGTTGTATTGAATTCATTTGAAACAAATGCATTTCAAAAGTAATATTATTAATTCTGTCGGAATTGAAAAAGTCATATAACAAATTAATTTGAAACACATGCGTGTTGAATGTAATATTATGAAATCAAAAGTAAATATTTTTTGTTTTCTAATCACACCTAAATAGCTGGACTGGTCTTGATAAATTTTGGAAGTTTATAAAGGAGACCTCGAAGAAGGACATCAGCTACTTTGTAGTGAAAATAAAACTTAAAAGGTTAAGATTTACAAATGGCAGGATGATAATTTGTATGGAGAATTGATTGTGTATGTTGACAAATTTACAGATAAAAGCCACTAGTGAATAATATTCATATTTACAAGTTATCACCCTTGTTTACAATAGTATGTAATTTAATTTAGATTATAAAAGTTATACAACAAGTATAAAATCGAAGCATTCTGAGCAAAATTCTTTAATAGGTTATTAATTAGCTTAACAGAGTATATACTTGCAACAGGGAAAAACCATGATTTAAGGTTTCAAATACTTTTAAGTTAAGTATCAACAAACATAACACCTTTTTTTATTATAAGCCTAACATAGGTCTTGAAGTTGAAACTATTTAGGGGTAAACAGTGATGACATCCAAGGATACAATTATAAAACCCAGCTTAAAAAGCTCTCATATTATCTAAAATCAATATTTATTTTGAATGTATGTTGGTGTATTTCATTATCTTTATAGCCTTTTTGATTTTATTAGTTGGCCATTAAATTTGTTCACTAATGTAAACTATTTATCACCCAAAAGATATAGTAAGTTTGCCTTCATGATAATTTAATCAACGGGCACTTTCAGCCGTTGGTCCGGATTGCATCTGCAGACATTAGTATCCACCAATCCGCATGGGCTTGCATGGTGGGTCATCCATTAGGAACGTCTGTGCCCCAGCAGTGGGAACATTAATAGGCTGATGATGATAATGATGCTAATCTGCAAATTACTTTTGTAGGTGACATCCATGGACAGTACTATGACCTGCTAAGGCTATTTGAGTATGGCGGCTTCCCTCCCGAATCTAACTACCTGTTCCTCGGAGACTACGTGGACCGTGGCAAGCAGTCACTGGAAACTATATGTTTACTGCTTGCATACAAGATAAAGTACCCAGAGAACTTTTTCCTTTTACGAGGCAACCACGAGTGCGCTAGCATAAACAGGATTTACGGGTAAGTAGCATTTTAATTAGGTTCAAAATGTGATTTGTGGCCTAGTAAAAGTTTCACGGTGTTTATGAGTTTGGCAAGTCGCTTTAACCTTGTAAAATAAGAATGAATACCAGCTGGAATGTGAGGGATGCCAGAGATGAAATATTGAGGTAAATACTCGATGTTTTTAAAATGTACTGTGAAACAGTCCCTGGTGTGGAAAATATCCAATCTCTAGTAAGGAATAAATGTTTTTTAATGGCGCGAGTACACTTGGTCCTTAGCCCGAATACAAGTGCTAATGGAATGGAATGTTTGGAAATGTCTAAGTGTAATTGAATGGAGTCGAGTGCGCCCGTATTCAGTAGTTAGTAGGGTAGTTTTTGTTTTCCCGACTCTTGTCTTTCAGCCGTTATTCCAGAGTAAATATTGCTTTATGTGCCAGAATTCGAGTAATGTCTTTCGTGCACCCGAATATGGTCTAACGACGTAATCTAATTGAGTTATAATATAGTTAGTCATTAACCAAGTTACTTTTAAAATAGTTTACGAAGTCATTAAGTTCCTAATAATGTGCATAGCTTAACAAATAAATATTTCTATAACACACAAATTAGCCTAGCCTAGCCCTGCCCAACTCGAGCTATGGAGGTTGTTGAACAACTATGACTTAAGAAATAATGTAATCTTGTATACTTGGAAAATCAGGAATCAATAAATCTTTAAAGACCAAGCAGGAGGATCCGTTGTTTAGATAAGGTATAGACTTACATACTAGCATTATACATATTTTTAAACAGTCTAAAATTTTAGTTTTCCTTAATTAAAAGATAATGAGTAAAAATTTTAGTAATAGAGAGGTATGTCGTTACCCAAATAATGACTGCAGTTTTTTTTTTTATAAAACTGTTATATTGCTTCAAACATCGAAAAGACTACCACAATTTTTTCTTGTCAATTTGGTTACAATAAATTGTCTAATTTGTTGAGCTATTGCTTTCCTTAAAGTTCTTTGTGATTTTACCAAAAAAGGTGAACATTCATGGGAAATGCTCACCTCCTGCCGTTCTGGTCTGACGATTACGAACAAAAGACTATTGCGCATATATTGGGGGCTTGTTGTTTTGTACGTTAAACTTAGTTGTTACACAAATAGTGCTTTAAACGTAATGCGATTTTTTACCTACTTGGAGAAGCACAATGAAACATGAAAATGTTTCTCGTTTTTTTTTATTAAATGTTAAGCAATAAACTATTTAAGTAAATAGATATCCAGTAATAGTAGATCCAGAAAAAAAATGTGTTCATCGTCCTTTTTTGCAAATTTCACATTAGCCTTACTCGAAAATAGCGTTAGGTATCCTTGTAAAAATAACTTGATTACTTTCCTTTACTTTTATATAAATAAGAAAGTCCAAAACAGTTGCCAGAAAAAAGTTTAGTCGGTTTTGTGACGGTCCTGCTGCTGGATGTGTCTGCTACAATGTCTTCTAGTTTCAGCTTTATCTATATACAATTTTTGTTTCACTGGCTATACAATGAATGAATGAATGATTTGTTTATTTAGAATACGATACGCAAGAGCCTTTTACTTTGTATGACAAAGAAGTTACCTAACTCACATATTATATCAAGCCCAGTATATTTATTTTAAGCTGTTAATTTGTGATCAAGCCCCGTAAGAAAAAGGTAAATACGGCCCAAGCGACGTTTCCTCCTAAACAGCGCAGGTAAACAAACGTGTTTTTAAAGGGCTTTCGACCACACTGTATGTGGTTCGACGAAAGAACTTCGAGTGACGAATCGCCTTCACAATCAAGTTAGCGTTTTAAACACGCATGAGTCACTGGTATAATGAATCAGTGCAAGGCCGGTTTAGACCGAAGTTCGTGGTTATAAGATCGATTGAAACACCTTCATAGGTATGCATACACTGAGTCACTGAGCACAGGGATTTAAGAGATACATTTGATCGGGTCTGGCACAGGGTTCTTCCGTAAGAAGCTTTCATCATGTGGGCTCTCTGATGGTTTATGTACATATATGGATTGCCAGCTTTCTATCAGAACGTAGCAAACGAGTTGTGGTTGACGGCGTCTCTCTTGACACTGAATCCATAAATGCTGGCGTCCCACAAGGGTTAGTTCTGTCGCCCACGTTGTTCATTTTGTATATCAATGATCTGTTATTAACTAACAACAACATCCATTGCTATGCGGTTTTTTTTGATGATGACAGCACTGGCGACACTTTTTACGCTGCTCGGCCAAATAAGCATCGGATGGAAGTAGAGGACAGTAGAGTCAAAGTTTTATCTGAGACTGAGACGTTACTGAACCAAAATCTCTAATTGAGGCCGTCAAAATTTAGTCCAAGTTAACCCAACAAAGACAAGTAAATGCGTTCACTGCGAAGAAATCCCCATTCGTAGCAGCATCTTATTTCCAAGACGAAGTGTCTTCTTCTTGTCCTCAACATCTCTAAAAACATCGGAAATCTAGGAGTCGATATTTCGAATGTAGTGCAATTCCGGGATCGTTTGGAAGGAGAAACCAAACTAGCTTGCAAAAAACTTGGGGTGCTCAATACAGCGAGAAAATACTTAAGAGCCCTTTCACATTTTCTGCAAAAAATCGTAATTTTTGAGCGCCTTGTTTACCCTCTTAGAAAAGATTTTTATTATTTCCAATGGAATTAAACAGTAGAGTTGTTCTTCCTGTTGTAAGTTAATGTAGAATATTTGCAAATACTAATAATAATGTTCAATAAATAAGATAAAATTAATTACTAGGACATCAGAAATATGTTTTTGTTGTAACATAATGTATTAGAATTTTGATTTTCCATCTCATTAATTATCAAAAAAAAATCTAACCTCTTTGAGTTTTCCCAAAAAATAATGCAGGTTTACCTCGTATTTTGATATTCAATTAAATAGAATTACTATCAAAAACATTCATAAAACTAATCTACCATCATTGAACTACTGAAATATGTATATATTTTTATAATTAGTTCATTAATAATTATTTTATAGGACTCGAAACATCACCCGTAAAATGCAATAATATATACTAGTGCAAATCTACCTACGCGCCGATCAGTACGGCAACGGCGCAATTTTGTAAAAGGGCTCTTATAGCCTAAATACCGGATGTTGCTTTACAAAGCACGGGTCCGGCAGTTTCACCCCCACCGGCGTTCTAGCGCCATGCGTTACGCGCGTTTTATTTTCTTGCGTTCCAGCAAGATGTGGAGCGAACTTCCCTCAGCGGTTTTCCCTCTTAGCTATAATGTTACTGCGCAGAGACGTTGCGTCTTTGTAGGTGTTGTACCGTCTATTGAATGGAGAGTGTTCCTAGGAATTATTCAATTTGGTACCAGCAGCACCACACGCCTCAGATAGTAGTTTCACACCCACCATCTGGACGCTTGGCGTTCTAGCACCATGCGTTACGCGCGCTCCTTTTTCTTGCGTTCCAGCAAGATCTAGAGCGAATTTCCCTCAGCGATTTTCCCTCTTAGCTGTGATATGGCGGTCTTAAAAAACCTTTACCATAAGGTGGACTGCCAGCCCGTTTGCCTGCGTGAACATAACAATAAAACGTGTTGTCGTCAACTTTGAAATGTTAGATTTTTCTAGTATTATATTACATAATTAATGTTATTATTTGTTGTTATAGCGACCATATAAATGCACAATAACTAGGGTTCATAGGATAGAGACCTCTAAAAGACAGTGAAAGAACCTGTAGCGGAGGCTTTCGTTGTCATGCTTTGGATACGGAACTGTAATTGTCTTAAACTGATCCTCGGCGGTCTATCATTAAAAGAGGCGTGGCGTTGAAAAAAATATTAACTCTGTTTGATAAATTCGAATTTTTATGTAATAAAGAAACAAGACTAGGAAATAGTTTGAATTTTTCGATAGTAAATAAGTTTCGATCTATCTTTATAATTTGCCTGGAGGTGCCCTGCGGTTTCACCCGCAATAATTTGAGGAAAAAGGTTATAGTGGGTTACTCTTAAAATATATACAGTGCTGTCGCGGACTTTTTTATAGAACTTTTAAAGGGGAAGAATTCCGTCTTTTCAACTTTTACGGTTTACGCAGGGCACGCAATTTAAGCTCACAAATGGAATATTTTTTTCCCGTTTTTGCAACATTTTCGCTCCGCTCATTTTAGTCGTAGCGATTTTTTACATAGCCTCGTACATGCACTATCCAATAGAAAAAGATTTTTTCAAATCGGGCCAGTAGTTCCTGAAATTTGCGCGTTCAAACAAACACACAAACTCTTCAGCTTTATAATATTAGTATGATAGCTTTTAGAATATTTCTCCCATAATAGACATCGGGCTCAGATACATATTAATGTTGGTTAAGGTTCATGACCCTGATAAAGTTTATTGCAAGTATAAGCTCAATATATATTGATAATTACGTTTAAAGCTCCGCCGTTCTCTGTCGAACACGAACGTGACTACGTGTCTAAGCTCAGGTAGGTACATAATAAATCCACCCATGTAAGTACATAATATTATATCGGTTTGCTTTAGAGCCTCTTGGTTAAGCCTTTGTTAAAATCCTTGAACCCGATGTCCTACATGAGCGATAGAACGCGACAGCTATTCTTTCGCTAGATTAACAAACAAGCTCAAAACTCTCTTGATTCTAAGAGACCAGGCTACTGTATAGCCTATAGAGATTTACCAAGCTATTTAAGGCCAATTTAGCAAGTTCTTGAAAAACTTTTTTATTATTTAGTTATGTACCATTAACACTATATAACACTTACAAGTAAATGTTGCTGATACGTATGTACTGCTTTATGAATCAGATTTTTTCCAATTAATACCTGTGAAACCAAAATTCGTACTTTGATTTTTACGTTCCGAATAGAGTATCAATTCAGCAAGTAGTGAAACGAGACCTAAGAATTTCAGTTGCGCGTTGCTTAGTTAACCCCATGCTCTTTGTTGTTCACTTTAAGAACTCCTGAGATTAGTATTAATAGAAT